ACACTATGGTGCCTTTATGGTTCCTGGGAATCGCAATTTGATCGCACGGGGGAGTTTACGTTAACTCACTGGCGAATGCCAACGGATTTTAACTTTACTCCCCCTCACGACCCGCTCTCGACGGGAGACTGAGAGAGAAGGCGGGCGCGAGAGAGAGAGAGGGGTGCGCGCGCAGCTGCAGCGAGCGAGGAGAGCGGAGGAGCGAGCGAAAGGGGAGGGGGACTATCAGCGTCGCGTCCGTGGCTTATTCGGTTGAGCGTCGCGCCATACATTCTTTCTCTATGGTCGCGCTGCGGCCCGCCAAGTCCTCTTTGTTTTGAATATAGAGAGAAGACTGCGGACGCCGCCGACGGCGGTGGATGGTTTGGGGTCGCTTATAAAGTGTATTCACACTTAAAACGCGAGCACTCTATAGTCTGACGCCAGGCGCGACCAGCGCCCATCGGCCCGGCCCGATAGCAACCGGCGCGTAATGCGACAGGCTGCCTTTCGTGCCGATGCGTTACCCAGGCAACACTGTGTCTTCCTCTTTTCCTGACGAATGGACGCCGCACGCGCTGAAACACGCATGCGTCAAAGCAACGCAGGATGGCGCGCGTCTGCGAGTGTATAGCAGGACCGCTGCCTGGAGTGGCATCGCCGGCGTGACGCAACGAAATGAACGCCGGCGAGCACGCGCACTGCGTCACATCGAAATGTATTGGCGCCTTGACTGTGGAGTGTAGTCATGTTGTTACATGACACGCATGTCGTGATTATCATGTTTGGATGTGTCATTTACCTATGTCGTCCGTTCGCGTGCCGTAATACTGGGTTTGGTACATGTGAAGCTAGTGAAGTGGCCGTGAGCGCATCATGAGTGCGGCATGCAGTAATGTTGTTACATGACACGCATCTCGTGTTTATCATGTTTGTACCAGTATCATACCTTTGTCATTCATTCACGTCCCGTAATAACAAATTTGGTATAAGTGACGCTAGCGAAACTGCCGCCAGCGCATCATGAGCGTGGCATGTAGTCATGTTGTTACATGACACGCATCTCTTGATTATCAGGTTTGCACCAGTCACATACCTTCGTCATCCATTCACGTACCGTAATAGCAAATTTTGTATATGTGACGCTAGCTAAATGGCCGCGAGCGCATCATGAGCGTGGCATGTAGTCATACTGTTACATGACAGGCATGTCATGTTATGAGTAGTCAAATATGTTCTTCATGCCGTCATGATATGATGATAAGATGGATAGATGATGGATGGATGATGATAGATGGATCCATCATGATATGATGGATGGATGGATGGATGGATGGATGGACGGACGGACGGACGGACGGACGGACGGACGGATGGATAGCTACGCTCAAAGTAGCTGAAGTTCGCTAAGAAATGCTTCGCATTTAAAACAGGTAATTGTGACGGCCCAAAACACGATTGACTCGCACATCGTAGCACCTCAGGGTGGGCACAAGGGTTGTGCCTACAACGCCATGCAGCCGCCGCCAGAGACGAGGTGGCTATCAAACGCTTGAAGCAAAGAGTTTCTTGATATATTTTAGGCAACTCTACGGCTGGAAGCGTTCACGTAGTTGAATGAATGAATGAATGAATGAATGAATGAATGAATGAATGAATGCAAAAACTTTATTACAAATAGCTTTCTTCCGGTGAAGATGGAGCCCTCAGTCCAGGGCCCCTCTGGCCTTTGCCATCTTGCAAGCTCTGTCGATCAGCTTGAGCTGTTCTTCAGGCTTAGAGCAGGACAGCGCAGCCTCCCACTGCTCCGGTGTTGGTGTACAGTTTCTTGGTACTACCTGTGTGTGTTGGCAGGCCCATGTTACGTGGTAAAGTGTGGGGGGTTCTCTGCATAGCGGGTATTTGTTGGTGTATATTCCCGGAAAGATTTTACTCAGAAGACTGAGATTGGGGTACGTATTAGTCTGCAGCTGTCTCCAGGCAACCGACTGCTCTCTGTTGAGGTCTTTGTGGGGAGGGGGGTAAATCTTCCTCAAGGCTCTCTGGTCTTCTAAAATTGCTCCATAGCGTCTTGTAACTGTGGCTGGTTCCTCGTCGTTGTGCGCCCCCCGGTCGGCGTATTCTCGGGCAATGGCGTCGGCACGCTGCTTCCCTGTCACAGTTTCATGGCCTGGTGTCCACGTAATGGAGCAGCTCGAGAAGTTGATTTTTCTTTCCTTGAGTATGCGGATGGCAGCACTGGATAGGCGTCCGCTACTGTACCGTCGACACGCTTCTTGCGAGTCGGTAACTATTTCTGTAGTAGACTCTTCGCTCTGGTGGATGATGGCGAGCGCGATCGCTACTTCGTCAGCCTCGAGGATGTTGTTGCTTTTGATCGAAGCGCTGTTGACTTCCCTAAGTTGGTGATCAACAACGCTTACAACTGTCCCGGAGTGCTCTCTGTATGTGGTCGCGTCAACGTACAATACGTCGGTTCTCGCCTTGAAATTTTTTTCTTGTGCTTCTGATCTGGCTTTTCTTCGAGCCTTATGGATTTCTGGATGCATGTTTCGAGGTATTGGGCTGACTTCAATAATCTGGCGAATGTCCTTTGGTATGCTCGCCGTGTTATTGATTTCTCCGCAAGCATCCCTCATGCCCAATGTCTGCAGCGTATGCCTGCCCGTAGCAGTCAACATCAATCTCATTTTCTGCGCAACAAGATGCGCCTCGATGTGTTCTTGCACTGTGTTGTTTATCCCGAGTTTAAGGAATTTCTCTGTCGAGGTGCTGACAGGTAGACCAAGGGCGCACTTGTAGGCTTTTCTGAGAATTGCCTCTAATTGTTATTTTTCCTGTCGGAGTGGTGTTTGGTAGGGGACACTGTAAACAATCCTACTGACCACGAGGGCCTGTACAAGCCTACAAGTGTCCTCCTCCTTCAGACCCCGTCTTTTGTTAGAGATTCTGGTGATCATCCTCGTGATTTGCGCTGTAGTGTTTGACAGCTGTCTGATGGTGTGGTCTATACGACAGTTGCTTTGTATCCACATGCCGAGAATCTTGATTTGGGACACTTCTGGAATCTTCCCCCTATATAGACGTCTATGGAGTTTTGCAGATCGTATCTTCGTCTGTAGACTCTTAGAACTTCTGATTTCTCCGGAGAGCAGACGAGGCCACATTGACGCACGTAGTCGTGAACTGCATCAGCTGCGCGTTGCAGAAGATTTTGTTTTTGGCCTAGAGATCCTCTTGTCACCCAGATTGTAACATCATCTGCGTAGATGGCATGTCTGAGTCCTTCAAAGTTTTCGAGGTTCCGAGCTAAGCCAATCATAACGATGTTGAACAGCATCGGCGATATCACAGAACCTTGGGGTGTTCCTTTTGTGGACGTATCAAACGTATCAGTGCGGATGCCTCCTATACCGATTGTGGCGGTTCTGTTACTGAGAAATCACGTAGTTGATGTTGCCAAGCTCGTATCGGGGGAGACGGCGTAGCGGCGCGCAAGGTGATGCATAACTTCGCTGCAGTATCGGCCAGCTCCTTCTGGAACGCTCGCCGCGGGCTTATAAAGCGCTGGAAACGTATACCAAACTCAACCGAAACATTCCCTCTCGCATTGAGGCGCTCACTGCAGAGGCTGTGGCACACTGTGCGCAGCTTGATGATTCAAATCGGGCTGACACCTGCACGAAGGTGGCGAATCAGGTGAGCTCTAAGGGCACCTGGCGGCTATTTCGTAGCCTTCTGGATCCCTTCAGCACTCGGGCAGAAACGCAACGCCAGCTCCGCCGTGCTCTGCATGCCTATCGGGGCACTACAGATCAACTCGCGCGAGAATTGTGCGACCAATACATCTGTCGCACAACTGACCCCATAGGCCCAGAATATACGTATTCCGGCACCCCTAACGCCGAGCTCGGTGCGCCATACAGGTTTTCAGATTTACGGGCTGCACTAGGGAAAATGCGACGGCCTGGGCGGGATGGCATCACAGTGTCACTTCTGGCTAACCTTCCTGACAAGGCACACCGCTCGCTACTCCACCTGATAAGCTTTATAAGGGATGGCTCCCCGCTCCCATCGGAATGGACGACATCATTCATCACATTCATACCTAAATCGGGCGAACCGGTCAGCATCGAGGCACTGAGACCAATCTCACCGACTTCCTGGGCCGGAAAGCTCATGAAAACCATGGTTCGCGAACGCCTTTCTACATGTCTACCTGGAGGCCAGGGGGACCTTCTTTGCTGACACGATGTTTGGCTTTCGCCCAGATCTGTCGGTGCAGCTCCAGCTTCAACACAACATCATAGAACCGACCACTATGCGCTGTAACGATAAAAGCGTGCTCGCACTACGTAGATCTTAGAGCGGCGTCAAATACAATAGTATTCTTTCTAGCCTCTTTACCACAAACTGCGGCCAGAAGAGTTTCAATTACATTTGAGCCTTATATCTCATCGCGCCACTTTCATCCGCCTCAATTCTATCGAACACGGCCCTTACCTATTAGGCACACGGGATACACCCCAAGGTGCTGTCCTGTCACCCCTACTCTTCACATTGGCCATGAGAAACCTCCCCTCTCTTCTGTGCGAGTTTGAGAGAATACACCATGCACTATGTGCCGACGATATAACAATTTGGACCAACACCAGCTCCCCAGCACAAATCGAAGAGCACCTACAAAAAAAGGCTACCCTTCTGGTGAACGCACTGCTTCGTGTGGCTAGAGTGCTCTCCGGCTAAATCGGCTATTCTCTCGGTATCCGACTTACCTCCATCCCAGGTTTTGCTTCCGTCTGGTACTGTTCCATCAGTCAGAGAAAATTCGAGTTCTTGGGCTCCACATCACTTCATCTTTGGATCCCACGGACACAATAGCAAGCCTCCGACGCACCAGCGAACAGGCGAGCCGTATGATACGGCGGGTATCTACCAAGCGCGGCGGCCTCCATGAGACCCAGTCCATGCGGTTGCCCGATGCGTTTGGGACCAGTCGCGCCCTGTACGCCTCACCTTACCTTCGCCTGCGTCGTCACCACGAGCACCAGCTGGACGTTTTCCTTCGTTGAGTCTACAAACGGGCACTTGACCTTCCCATTGCCACCTCCAACAGCCGATTCGCAGCACAGGGGGTACACAACTGCTTTGCAGAGCTGCGGGAAGCTCATCGTGTTAGCCAAATTAATCGTCTGTCACAGACGCCCTCAGGGCAACGTCTACTACACAGACTCGGCCTCAATGCAATCTCCGATCAAGACACTCTGACGCCCATAACGGAACTTTGGCGGCAAAATCTATAGGTGGAACCACTACCCCACAACATGAACCCCGAGCTACATCCCGGCCGCGGACTAGCACTTCCCGTAGCCCTTCAGGCGCGACAATCCGACCGCCCTGGCGTTTTCTACGTAGGCGTATCGGGCCCCTCCCCCTCAGGTCACTTCGCGGCCGCCGTGATCAGAGAGGAAAAACATGTTGATGGCCTCTCCTTTAGAGCCAACACTGTGACGCAAGCTGAGGAGGTTGCCATTGCTTTGGTCGCCTCGCATCTCACCTCACGCGTCATCGTGACGAACTCGCGCTCAGCCTGTTCCCAATACCTTCAGGTTCCATCGCCCCGCTGGCAGCTGACTTACTTCGGGCAGCCTCTTGGCGCTTTGACCCTCACCCCATTCGTATAGTATGGACCCCAGGCCTCTCGGGCCTGCCCGGCCACAAGGCGGCGAACGCCGCTGCCCGCGCTTCTCTCATCCGGGCCGTTGCCCCTCCATGTCCCGAGTCGGAATTTGGCAATACGAATCTGACGCGCCTTCGCGCAATTCTTGCCTATTACCGAGATTCGTGCCGCCTGTACCCGGACCCCGCAAGGGGTCTGGAGAAAGCGGACGAGCGAATACTACGCCACCTCCAGACGAACACCTTTATCAGTCCGGCGGTCGCCAGGCACTTTTTGCCAGGAAATCAATGGCACCTCCTCGACCTTCCAGGTCCTCGCCAACACCTACCACGTCGTCGCATCGTGCCCTACTACCCCCTTCCTTTTTCACCCCCTTTCCCCATCCCAACTATGAAGTACCTGCTCGGCTGCTTGACCTAGGATGCTGAACGCTCCTCGGTGTGGCGCGCTCGAGCAGTGGTCAACTCCATTGGCATCCCGTAATAGGGCCTTGCCACTCAATCATGCAATATGCCGCAACTTTCTGGTACATTTTCTGTAATAAAATGTTTCTACCACCACCAGCACCAGCAGCTCCTAAGAAACGCGACGATGAAGTGAATGCCCTTGAACTGAGGAGTGCAGGCACCACTGCGTTTTAAGCGCACCCCTATCAAATGAATCAGACACAGCGAGTGACACCCATGTTGCACGAGACAAATTTGACCGAGAGCACGCGTCCTGGAGGACGCGAACACCAAGACGTCATGGTTTCTCCGAAAAATAAAACAGAATTACGAGATCTAAAAGAATCGGACGATGGTCAGAGATGTACACAGGCGAAGGTGGGATGGACGGAACGCGTAAGTCGGAGACAAACGTCTCTAAAGCATGTGGAATATAAGCCCGGGCCGGTCGAGTCTGCTGGAGGATGGTCCACGGCTCCATGTTCAAACAAAAGTATTCCCGTGCATGACACCAGGCGCATCCAGCAATGAAAAATGCTAGACAAGGCGTCGCAGCTCACGTTAATTCCAAGCAGACCGACCCCAGCCAGGACCTTGTACACCGCATCGCGCATTTATCACACAGTTGCAGTCTCCAATTAGAATTACGTGACGACCATCTAAAAAAAACGTCCAAATTTCGAAAAAATTTAATAGACTGTCCGGCTTGTGCAGACGCATACACACAGATTATCCTCATTCGAGAAGAAAAGTAGGTACAATTCAGAGCTAGAATTCTACCGACGCCGTCATAAACAACATAGTGACCTCTCAATAAAGCCCGAATAATATAATAATGCCTACTCCCGTAAAACGAGTTGTAGCGAAAAAGAAATAGCTACCTAGGTTAAACTTTTGTTTAATAGCCATAGCGTAGGATAGCGAAAAGAAATTACTTTCCTGCGGGCACAAAGCATCACAATTTGCAGCACGGGCTACACTAATCACCTCGGCCTGTTTACCGGACTGCGAAAACTTTTTTACGTTGAAGGAAATAATGTTCAATGAGGTAGCCATCATAAGCTAAAAAGTAACTTGGATACTAGACGGTGCACAGTTCCGACAGACACGGGAGCGAGTGCCCCGCAAGTGACTCATTCACTTTTTACGACCAGGTGACCCTCCAGAAGCAGGGGGCATCCGGGGCCACGTCGAAGTCCGCAGGGGACTTCTGTCTCTGCTGGGGGCCTCCGAGTCACTGCTGGATATTCGGTGGCGCTTGGTGCCAAAGCTCTTGAGCGAAGTTGGTACAAACGCGTCCAGACTGTCCCGGCTGATATCGCTTGGAGTACTCTCGTCGTCTATCTGCAGGGCCATGTCATTCATAGTGCTGTTTGAGTCCTCGTTGGTGAAAACCTCGTCCCCTTGGGACAAAGTCTCTTAAATGATAGGAGGAGTAACAGAGGACCGGGCTGCCATGGGGTGATCATCAGATATCGCGTCCCTATCTGCGACGCATTCACCAAGAGGCACCTCCTCTGGCGAGGGCTCGACCAGTGGTCCTGTGGGAATCACCACTGGTCGCGAGTCACTGGATGAATCATCTGCACCTTGAGGGGCTGCGTCGTCCGGGCTGGCTGGAGACACTGCGGGCGTTTGGTGTGGCGTCTGGTGTGGCGTCACAATCTAGCCAACTTCGTCCTGACAAATATCCGGGCCTGGCGTCGATGATACGACGTCTTTGTTCTTAAATTGTGTTCTTGGTTGAAGTGGCGGGTAATTTTTGAACGCCACCTCGGAATACGAAGGCCTGATGGTGCAGGCGACGGTGGCATGCGGGTCACCACCACGGCGATACGGCAGCGAGCAGCCCTTCTCGTCGTGGCCATAAATGCCGCACCTTTCACAAAACGGAGCTATGCAGTTTATGCGGAAGTGCCCACTGTCTCCACATCGTCGGCACACTCGCTGGGTCCCTTTATAGTCACAGGTCACTCAATGGCCTGCGACCTTGAGGTAGGTGGGCACCGACGACGATGTCTTCATTTCCATCCGGACGAATCGCGTCGCAGTGGTCACAGTTGGGCCCGACCCCATGAGTCCTCTGCTGATGTGTAGCACCTTCTCGTAGAGAGACAATGCTTGCGCGAGGACCTCATCGGGGACGCGGAACGGCAGAAACAGAACGGTGACTTGAGTGACTTGGGGTCCCAAGGGCACGACAGCAACGCACTCTCCTCGGATTATTAGGTGTGACACGTCGACGATTTGAGCCAGAGCGGCTTCACTGTTAACGGTGACTCGGTAATTCCGGCCTCCAAAGTGCTATAGCAGTAGACCTCTTCGATTCCTGCTATTGAAGATGTTGCGTCAGCGACGTCTTCGGGACTAGTCCCCTCGGGGATGACTACCTCGAAGGCTAGCGCCTTCGTCCGGGGCTGGCTTGTTGCCATGACGGGCGTCCGCCAGCCGAGGGAATGCCCTGAGAAGCTAGCGAAGATGACGAACCAACAGGAAGAGGGGGATTTAAAATGTTTAACAATATCGAGTACTTGGTACTTCACTATGGGACAGCAGTAAGCCGTCCCTCAAATAAGATGATGAAGCAACACGAGCATCCCAGGCAGACTTCCAGTAGGTTGTGCCAGCGAAAACACCCAAGTCTTAGATTTTTACCTTGTCGAACCTCTACAAGCAGCCAGGCAATAGGTGGACATTTTGATTGCCTGTTCATATAAAACTTGTGTGAAAAGTGTGTAGCTTGACACATGCCTTATTAAAGCCATGCACCAGCAGGGAGCCTTTAAAAAGTAATGTGGTATAAATACGATACAATATCACTTAAATGGTATCAAATACCATATGATCATATGACAAGAACAGAAAAACGCAAGCACAAAAAAGAAAGTTGGCTGATCCCACGTACAGTGGGAATCGATGATGTACGAAGCACGAATGAAAAAGTGTTATATGTCATTTGAAAACCAGCACAACGTTAAGATGGGGAGGTAAATGATTCCATGCATGACTTCCTTGTCATAAGTATCATGTTTGGATGTGTCGTTTACCTTCATCATCTATTCAAATCACGTGATACCAAAGAACCAAGGCAAGCCAAGTTTCCACAGCCGATGAAGATGACGACCACTCATGATGATGAACATGTGTGAAGAAAGTACATGTGCTTAATGAATGCCTGCAGTATATGTGGAGCTAGTGAAACACCCGCGAGCACGTTATGAGCGTGGTATAGTGCCATGTTCTTACATGACACGTGTTTCAGGATTATCATGTTTGCACCAGTCATATATTTCCTCATCCATTGACGTCACGTAATACCATATTTCGCATATGTGAAGCTAGCGAAACGGCCTCGAGCGCATCATGAGTGTGCATTTATCACGTTGTTACATGACACGCATGTCGTGATTATCATGTTTGGATGTGTCATTTACCTATGTCGTCCATTCACGTCCCGTGATACCAAATTTGGTATAAGTGAAGCTAGCGAAACAGCTGCCAGTGTATCATGAGCGTGGCATGTAGTCATGTTGTTACATGACACGCATAACATCATTTTCATGTTAGGGTCTCTCTCTTTTGTTCGCTCTGCAATCATGTCATACCATACCAGTTTTGCAACATGTCATGTGAACGAAACCACCGCAAGAGCTGCAGGACCATTATATGTAAATAATGACATTCATTACATACATTAATATATTTTCATGTTATGACTAGTCAAATATGTTCTTCATACAGTCATGTTATGCCCTACCAAGTTTGGTATCGATACCATAATCGAAACGACCAGGAGAGCTAAAAGTCGTAGGCGGCTAGATAGATAGATAGATAGATAGATAGATAGATAGATAGATAGATAGATAGATAGATAGATAGATAGATAGATAGATAGATAGATAGATAGATAGATAGATAGACAGACAGACAGACAGACAGACAGACAGACAGACAGACAGACATAGATAGATAGATAGATAGATAGATAGATAGATAGATAGATAGATAGATAGATAGATAGATAGATAGATAGATAGATAGATAG